GATGTACTTGTTTATGAAACAAAATTTTTTTATGAAATTTATTTTAACAAAAAAAAAAAAAAAAAAAAAAAAGGAATGAGAGAGAAGAGGTGGAATGGGTGCAAGTAGTGGTGGTGATGAAATGTAATTAATGATCGATTAATAGAATAATTATAACATGTTATTTTGATAATTTGTGATCAATAAAAAAGTTGTGATCATTTAATTTGATAATTTGTAACCGATAAATAAGTAGTAACTTATAAAAATATTTAATATTTGTAGTGGATAAATTTGTAATTGTGATCCACATTGCATTTGGGACTATGAAGTTGCGTGATTTGTAACTTAATACGTATTGTAAGTATAAATTGTATGTTATTGTGACCTTAATCTAATTAATAAATGAGTCACAAAAATTCTATCAAGTGATCGCATTAATGTGAGCATACATTGTATGCTTATATGACCTTAACCTATTTAATAAATAAATGGGTCACAAAAATTTTAACAGATGGTCACAAATTTGATCGCCTGATTTTTGAAAAAATTCTACAAATTTCTTAAATTTGAAAGTTTATTTTGAAATTATGATAATTATGCCCCTGGACTGTTTTAAAAACTCTTTTTGTTACATGCTCATTTTTAATTACACAATCACAAAGTAAAATATTATGCACGTAAATTTAAAACTTTTTCATACTTTTTGACAATATGTTCTCTAAAAGTATCACGAAACATGGACTATGTATTTTTTTTCTACTTGAAATTGAATGCTTTTGTAACATAATGGACTAAGTAGTTTGGCCCATATATCGTTTAAGCCCAATTTTTTTATTATCAAATATGAGATAACTTGACACAAAATAAGAATTAAATTTGTTAATATTCACCTATTAATTGAGGTGTCACGTCATTGACATTTAGTATAAGTTAAATATCGATACTAAGTCGATCATTTATCTAGCAAATATTATATACAAAGTTCAAATTCCCAAACAAATTCAAGCTTTTTAAGACATTAGTACTATTTTGGAAGCATCTATTCTTAATTTATTTCTCTTAATTTCTTCTTACGACATAGACGAATACAACTTTTATTTGCATTTCACCCTTGCAGCTTTTAACCAAATGACAAATTACAAAAATATCAATTTCTGACCATGGCAAAGTACTCTATTTAGGTGTAAGAGAAATATACAGGTATTTATAGCCTTAAACAACTTATCCGACGAGCAAGGACTAGGTCCTAATATAATTATGCAAACCAAGTGAGTTAGAGAGAGATGCTCTCAATCTAGTGAGAGAAAATCCCACTTTGGTGCACACTTGCTTTGAGAGTTTCCTTGTGTTTTAGTTCGATTTTTACTAATATTTGTTGGAAATTGAATTAAAACATGTGGAAATTACACCACATGTCAAAATCTTGATTTTTAGTTACACAAATGTCATCCTTTTTCTGACATTACAAATATGGAAATTTATGAAAGTTTTGAACTAATTTACCCCTCTGCATAAATGTAATACCTTACAGGTTTTGCATTAATTGTAGATTTGACTAGGCAGAATTGTGTCAGGGAGGAGGTGTTTGGAGAAGAAAAACAAAGAAAAAATAAGCGAGATGAAGGAAGAGAAAGCTAAACGTCGCCTCTCACCGAAATCACCGACCCTCTCTCTGCAATCGCCGACCTCACTCCCAGTTTTGGACGACGATCGTCAATGTCGAAATCACTCCCATTGTCCGTCGAATCGCCTGAAGTTGAGCACAATGTCGAAGCTCTCTCTGCAATCGCCGACCTCACTCCCAGCCTTGGACGACGATCGTCAACGTTGAAATCACTCCCATTGTCAGTCGAATCGCCCGAAGCTGAGCACAACGTCGAAGGCTGTCTTCTCCCTTGCGACTGCCAGAGAAACCGAACAAAGGCGAAGGTAAATCCACCCATCTTCTGACTTCCCATTGTAATTACATGTTTTGTTCCTCTTTGTTGGCCAATAGTAGGA